TAAAAGATACGCGGAAGCTAAAATAGATGAGCATTTAGACATTCAAGAAAAGTTCTAAAACACCGTCTTGAAAATACTTAACATAATTCGTAAGTTAAATCAACATCTTGAGGAAAAATGAAAATCATATGGTTATGTCCGTATATGAAGCCTTTAACAATTCAAGATAGATGTCGGGACAAGACCCATGACACCTCAAATGATACTAAAACTGAAATGGAAATGGAGTCTCCCAGAAGCAAGGAGGCTTCACCAATTACTGTCTATGAGTGTAAGGTGATCTCAACGAAGCGTCTGTTGATGATCCTAAACACCTGTATCTGCATCATAACAAGATGTAAGTCGAATGACATCAGTACATTGAATGTACAAGCATGTAAGGAGAATTGAAAGGCATAGATAATTGAAATGATAAGACCGAAAGGATTCTCACCTCAACTCAACTCAACTCAATACAAAAGTAATGACAAAAAATGAAATGTTTAAAGCTTCAAAATTAAGAGATACTAACTCAAGGGTGTATATAAAATACAATAAGTTATTAGTTACTCTTATTTGAGAGATTCTCTAACCGACAACCATCACTATGAGCTATGTGATGATACAGTGTCTTGCCCACGCTTTTAGCACTGTCCTATACCTTGTCAGGGTATAGAACACCTCAACTAAGTGGATCCACTAAGCTATGCTCAAAAGCAATAAGGAATCATCTAAAAAGTATGATCATTTACCCATGTTGGCTACATGTTTTATGAGGAGTGTGGGTTATCTGAACTCATCCCCATATCGATGTTCAATACTACTCCCAATAAATATATGTATATATTCATGCTCAAATATGTAAAATATACTCTTTCTCAATTTGAGGTAATTACTCAAAATGTCTTCTTAAAAGAGGTAACTGCTCTGAATTAATTTCTGAACTCATTACTCTTTTTAGAAATCAAAACTTCTCTTTTTCAATGTAAAATTGTTACATTTGGGAATATTTAGTTCCCTTATGTTCTTTCTCAATCATGAATAAAACTCTTCTCAACACTCATTTTTGCTTTCTCAGAAAATTAGTTTAAGACCATTGTTGATTACAAAAGATCCTCAACAGCTAAACAGAAGACGAAAACATAGAAAAAGACATGAAACTCTCTGTATCATTATCCGCTCCAATCGTCCTAAGATAGAGGACCCATAAAATTTTCAGAAACAAAATTGATGAAATAAAAAACCTAACCAACAGCTAAACAGAAGACTGAGAGCTCTCCAAACAATGCCCAAAAACCAATTTAGAGCAAAGAAAAATCATCCATTTGCAGGTAGGATTAAAAATACTTAGATAAAGTGTTTATACGTAGTTTTAGCAATTGTCAGTACAATTAGGGGTCGTTTGGTATAAAAATTAACAACGTAGGGATTAGTAATGCAGGAATTAGTAATGCAGAGTTTATTTTTATCAAGTGTTTGGTTCATTGTTTCCAACCTCATCTTGCGTTTGGATTAAAAATCTTTAAGAATCTTCTTTCCAATTATACCCTTGAATTATCATGTAACTGGGTCAAGGTAGATAATTGTCGGACAATATTATTATTTTATGGCATTCTAACTAGCTATGAGAAGAGCAATTTTATTGTCGTGTTTCCTATTTTTTCACTTGAATTATTTGAAGATAAATAATTGTCATCTTAATAAATTGATCACTCACAAAGTGTCAATTTTCAATTTAAATGTATGTAATTTTTTAAATTGTTCAAAACAAATAGTTAGAAAACCACACAATTATATATATAATAATACATTCAATTAAGATCGCAAACGTCATGTAGTGACATATTTGTCTTTTTAATTAGTAAATGTTAAATAACTCACATTTCAAATTTGTATTGGATTTATTTAATAACAAACAACTAGCTCTAAATAATTTGTAAGCTAATTTATTTAAATAAATTTACTAGTACAAATATAAAACATAAAATCAAGAAAATAAACAAAATCATTAAAAGAATTTGAGAGATATTTTTGTCGTTACATAAACTTATCTCATGGTATTATATCCTGTGTATTACTAATACCTCCAAATGGAAGGTATTAGTAATACATACTATAATACCATGTAGGATGTATAACTAATCTATGAATTAGTTATACATAGGCTCAAATTCCTACCAAATATACTACTAGATAATATCATACATAATAAATGAACTATTTCTTTTAATGCAGCTTACCAAACGACCCTAATGTTTCTTTAGTACAATACTACAATGTATAATTTGTCCTCTCTTGAATTAAAATGGGCCCAATACATAGTACAACTTGCATTGAATCCAGTACAATTAGTCATTGTTGTGTTGCTCCTCTCTTGTTGCTTATACAATGTAGAGTTTGTCCTCTCTTGAATTGAAATGGGCCCAATACATAGTACAACTTGCATTGAATCTTCTAGTACAATTAGTCATTGTTGTGTTGGTCCTCTCTTGTTGGCTTATATATGGGAAAAATTAGCAAATTAGTCATAATACCTAATTTTAAATGTCAGAATATCAATATTTTCAAAAATAAGTTGTATTCATATTTTATTAGTTATATTTCCTTTTATTTATCAAAAGAGTCCAACATTAGACCAAATTCTAAACCAATAATCTATTAAAAACAAAAAAACAAATACGAAACTATCCATTACCATTCTTTACACATCTTTCACGTTTTCAAACCTCACCTTTCACGTTTCCCAGTTTCTCTTTCTTCACGTTTTTCTGCAAATCTAAAAACCCAAATTATTCAAAGTTTTCATAAATTGTTCAACAAAATCTCTATATTAATTCAAGAAATTTCTCGATTGGTAAACAAAATCTCTATATGATATATATATATATATATACTAGATAAGCAAACCCGTGCTATGCACGGGTACAACACAATTGATTTTGCACACAAGTTATTTTAGTAGCACATTCAAAAGTTATCTTCATGTTCTCATACTTGGATCATAATTACAAACTTGTGTACAAGAACTGAAAAGTTATAAATTAAATGTATATCCGTCCCATATATGAAAGGGCGAATCATCATTTTTAGAAAAATTGGTGCCAACATATAAAAGACTTGATTTTCATATTAGTGAATAAGTAGTACAATGTCATTGCAATGAAAGAAGTTGATAATATTATTGCATATATGTAAGAAAGCAAATGCATCTGCTTTGTGCATTACACAAATCTCAACATATGTTCATATAGTAATTCTCTTTTCGAACTTAAAAAGCTTCTCTAGAGAAAATTGAGACACATGTTCTTCAAATTGGTCACAGTAGCCATGTTACCATTAAATTAACAACCAAAATGTTGTAGCAAACATGACCAAGTACCTCCACATGATTTTATTGGAATGGTTGATTTTAAAAATCCAATTTAGAAACAAAACATAGCTATGTAACCATGAAAACCAAAGAATTGAAAAATAACATCAAATTTCAGCTTTCAGGTACCTTTCTTGTCCATTAGTTTACCTCAGGTGAACAACTCCAAAATGGCAAGAGAACTTCTCATTGTTTATGATAGAGCATTTTCTGCTAACAGTTTGCTTAAACATGTTGGCCACTTCCCATGTTAATGCAGTGAGCCTCAAGTCAATTTTTCGCAATTATAGATGCTAGAATAACTATAATATTCAGACGTTGAAGAGTCTAAAGACATCTCAAAAGCATTTGACAAAGAAGGGTTATCATCATCCTAGAGAGAAATCAGTAATCATGTTAGCTTCAAGTTATAAGTTTAAGAAATAATTACCGAGAAATAAAAGATGATTACATCAAGTGACTAATATTCTCTGCCTATTAAATTTGTAAGATTTAAGCTATGTCTTATACAATAACTTTTAAGTTACAAAACTAAGCACACAGGACCTTTGTTTGTGCTACAAAGGAACACATGACAAACATTCTTCTTATAGGGGAACCATCTCTATAGTCAAGCTTGACAGTCACTACCAAACGTTTTTGAAAATGCAAGCTGCAGGGATGGTTGTGAAGCCTGTATTGCTAATCTTCGGAGCAGAGTGGAAGAAGGGGAAAACTCTTGACGAGTTTCAGTAGGAAAGAACAGAGTAGCCATACATTTCAATCTAGCATAGATGAAGTAGGAGACCAGGCAAATGTTTCATGCAATGGTGTGACAAGTCATATGTATTATAAGAAATAATCATCGAGAAATAAAAGACAATTCAGGAACGTTGAATTACATCAAGTGATAAATTTGTGAGATTTAAGCTATCTTGTACACTAAGTTTCAACTTTGAGTTACAGGACTTGGCATACATTTGTGCTACCAAGGAACACAGGGCAATCATTCTCCTTATAGGGGAACCATATATATTAGTCAAGCTTCACGGTCATTGCCAAACATTCTGAATAATAAGGTTATTCTAGAAACAAAAGGAAAAACTCAATTTAGAACATATCAGTGCAATTCTGATATAAACACTCAACTCAGCACATATAAGTTGAAATATGACTCAACTTTCAACGCAAATGTTTCATCATTTTGGTGAGTTTGCTAAAAACCAGTCATGTGTAATGACCATATTACAGACAACTGATCTAAAAAGTAGTACAAGCAAGTAAATTTTATGTAATTCGGAAAACAACACACAAATACCATTGTTGCTAGATTATTAATCTACTACATGTAATTAAATGAAAATGTACCAATTGCAGTATTTTTTGGTAAATAAAAATCTAATATGTCCGAGAATGAAAATGAGGGCATATTCAGCAGAAAATTTGAAAGTTTATTGAACCAAAATAAATGATAACCCAATTGAAGGATAGGGCATACTTCAAGAAAAGTTGAGAGAAATTGAAAACCTGAACTCCACTTGAAGTCTCATTTCATTCAAATTCATCACATATCAAAAGATAGAGATCATGCCAAATCATATAACTTGTATTGATGAATTGTTTAAGGCTAATTAAATAGTAGGCTATGGTTTTAAACATCCAATGCCGAAAAATACTTTAGATAGACATGAGCATAGTCTAACGCAAATACATACGTACTACACAGAGTACAAAAGACAATTGATTTTGTACTTCAATCATCCTAGGAGTATCCTTATGCTAAAGGGAAGAAATTATCACTAACATGGTGTCTCCATTAGTTGGAGGCGCAAGTTATTCCTAAGTTTAAATATCAATTCAAAACTATAAAAGATACTTTGAACAAGAAAAAGAAAGAAACAGTAAACCAGTGAAAAGTGAATTACCAACCTGACCAGCAAATGAGAATATCAAGATTACCCTTGACCTCCTTGGGGAGTTGGCAGTTGAATTCATCAAAAGAATAAACTGAAAACTTAAAGGATGACAACACCTTTAAGCTTCAATCTTCTTACCAATGACTGATGAGCTATGAATGACTAAGACTGTCTAAATTGAAATAAACTTAACTACATAGTAATCGTGAAGAAACAAAGATTACCTTGCATAAGCATAAATCTCACATTCCTGTGAGTTTCCCAGTCAACACCTAAACCAAATGCTACATTCTGATCTAATATCATATTTAAGCCAAAATTCTCACCCTACCTGCAATCAAATCAGCCAAAAAAAGAGGAGTGTGTGAATCCATACAGTGACCCTAAATATCAACTCAACTAATTAAAATAATAAAATCAAATTTGAAGAAGTGAAATAATTAGCTTTAAGTTGTAGAGCATCTGTCAAAAGATAAAAGAAAAAGTATTCAGTTATTTTATGCATATGATCAAGCATTTCTCTACCGATCTATAGCGCAAGATCCCAACATTTATAAGTTATGCTCTTCTATATAAGTACAAAAATAAGTTGTAGGTTTTTCATTTCAGGTGGATCTATAGCACAAGATCCTAGCATTTATCGTGAGGCGATCATCGGTGTCAGGTTGTGTTTGATGTTGTTGATTTTCTTGGAATTCCTAAAATGCAAACCTTAAATATTGATGGTGTTTTAGATCAATCCCATTGTTCGAGAAAATATCTGGTGTAGTAAATGACGAGTTCAACCTAATTATCATCAGACATAAGTTATCAAGGATTTTTCAATTGATAGTCATATTCTCAATATGTAATCACCAGGAAAAACTCACTCTACATTTTCGTTTTCCTTAATTAATATAAATTAGCCAAAGCAATGAAACTGCATTGAGAGGAAGAGAATTCAATATACCATTAATCTTTATGCTTGCGTGTATTTGATTTTAGGAAAATCAAGTAGAATAAGAGATATGAAGTGCAAGTTAGAAGGAAAAATTTGTTGGTATGTGCATGTTAGGCCTTCTTTTCAACCAGAAAGTTACTACAGAGTAATTCAAATTGTGCCAAAAAGGAAAAACATAGTACAATTTCTGAAAAGGAGATAACTAACGTGCACATACACGACTTTTATCCTTCAAGATTTGTGTTAGCAACATTATATTAATGGACATTGCACGAAGATCTTGTAAAGTTTTTTCCACCACACTGCTTTCTTTATTTTCTTAGCGTCCACAACGACCCTGTCTTGTTAGAAGTGAAGCTACTGTCATAAAAAATCTGATCTTAAGGCCTTAGGTAGGGGACACTATGTATTTTTTTTCCTATAAATATAATTGTTGTAACCTAGAAGAGCCCGTATATATTGTTCTAAGGAGTTTCTCTTCTCCGTATTTAATTCTCCACAACCCACTTCTACTTGTTGATACACTTATTTATTTATAAGAAGAATAATAGTTTCTCAAATTTCCCTACATTGTGAGGGTAGGGAGGCACTATCCCCTTTGTAATCATTCTGCCTAAAGCATCCACTGACAAGATGTTTATGAAATTGTTTCATGGTTAAAACTACTATAGATCAAGGCTAGATGTTGAACAATCATTAAACTAATGACTATGTTAAACTTAGCAACTTAAACAAATTGGAATAAAGTAAAAGATCACATTTACATATTGTTTATTCTGTATTATTAAAGGATGTTGTGATTCCAAAGATGATCTTCATGAAAGATTAAGAAACTACACCGGCCAAAGCTTCAAAAGCAACCTTCAGTGATGTTAGGTTTCCCTAGTTACCTAAGCATCTAACTTACCATCCGAATTTGGAGACTTCCGTTTTAGTAGCCCTGCATCATCATCAGTCATCACTATAAAAGTTGATCAAAATTTTTAGTGACCGGTATGAAGTCGATGACTTAAGGGAGAAGAGGAATGCAATAAAGTCACAGCAAGCAGAAGAATTTAGCTAAACTATAAAGGATGCAACGATGTGAATGAGAATCGTTCACTATCAATTAAAAGTTAGGAAATTTTCTAATTAGCTTTAAGCGTTTGTTTTCTTTGTTGATACTTACATAAATTACCACTAAGAGTGATGAATAGCATCTGCAAATTTGGATGTGTCATTTTAATGCTATCAGTTTGCTCTAACTACTTGAGTTTATGAAGCTTAGCGTTGTATGGTATAGATATAATCTTTTAAAAACAGAAAATATAAATAATTAAAAACCAAGCTCTGCATTTGTTCTTATCATGTTCAAAAGGGTTCCTTTTAGAAGTTCACAAATTTTTTATTCAAATAAATAAATTCTACATCTTTCACAAAGTACAATCTTCAAGAAAAATGACTTTACCAAATAAACAAATGAAGTATAGTTATATATAAATCTTTAAACCTAAACCTAAGATAAAAGGCATGCATGTAATCTAAAGTTTTGTTCAATGGGATGTAGCTTATTGACTGCTATGTGCATACTTCCTTGAAGGTGCGGAAAATATGTTCATATCGGGATCTTCGATTTCTAGTGACTTTTGGTGCACTTATAAGGACTCAGTTAGTATAGATGCTTGAGTGTTTTTTTAGAGAACCCAAAGAAATGATTTCTTTAATTTTTCTAAGCCGATGTTAATCCTACCTAAATAATGTAATGTTAGTGAAGTAAATAAAACTAATAAATATAAGAAATTGAAAATCAAGAAAGTCACCATAATCTTGAAGACCAACGTGGATGGGTTTCTTCATAGTAAATTGCAATTCTCCATCCAACACGATTGAAGAATAGATTGCATTCAACTGTTACCTAATTCTACAAATACCAATCACTATAACCATGCGACCAACACAACTGATTTTTGATTCAACAATAACAATATGATGCAAAGTATAGTACAAACGAAACTGTATTCAGTTAATTCACTGATATTTGACCATATCCCACAACACTATTATATATTGAAAGACATTCGTATATTTACGAGCAGTCAAGAGACTTTGATTAACGTATCATGGGTAGGAGTAGAAGTAGCAGAAACACCTGAAGCAACTACAGTACAAGTAGTGTGGCTGCGATCGCTGATTGTCAGTACCAGAGTTTGATGGAACATATATAATCCATCACCCCTTTGCAGATGGATTCCATCCATGTTTTATTGGTGAAGATTCTCAACTTCCGTGATGGTATTTAGATCCTTCTCGATAAATGTGTAACTACATACGCGAGACTCATGTGGGAAACCAAAAACCTAGAATAATTATTTGTTCCTTGCATCAGTGGTACGTATTATCCATGCTCTTGAATAATTAAAAGCATAATAGTTGCTCCTCTTTTTTCCACAAAAATACTAAATTCATATTATTGTAAAGTAGTTCTCTAATGTAGGACAATATATATATAATTAGTTGGTGAACAAATAATTAATTTATAACCCATATTTTCAAGATGTCCAAAATGTTTCATCCCTTTATCATATTGAAGGAAAAATATATCGTTGAGACATTTATTTAGTATTAGAGTAATTGATGGTTAGTAAACATCTTTTGTTGAACTTGAAACCCTGATGGTTTTCTATTTAATTAAGGTAGAACAAACAATGAGAGGGTATATGCAGGTTTGGACAATGCGATGAGATATGTTGTTCTGAAGGATCAACAATGGAGTGTTTATATTGTTCGTGCTCATGGCTCTACTTGCTATTGTGAGGTTTACCATCTCTTCATTTTATCACTTTGAATTTATTATATGTACCGTTCCTCACTCTTTGGAAGTGTTAAATTTTTGTATTGATGGTGTGTTGCCGTGACTCTATGCTTATTGATGCTCTTCTTATGACCTTTTAGTTTCTATACTTTTTAGGAGTTCGAGATTTTTATTTCAAGGTTTGCAAGTTGAGGATTTGGGAATGCAATTGTATTCTTCATTTCATAGCTGAGTCAAGCAATCATGTGTTATGATTAAATATTTTCTAGGTCAGATCCCCTAACTACTTTTTTTAATTATTACTGAAGTTTAGTAATTTGATTTCAGTTGTAGTTACGGCGTGGATATGTTATCTAACATTTATCTTCTATGCTATTAAAAAAATTATGTCTTTTGAGTTAATTTTTTGTGTTAGTTAGGTTGAATATCCATTTTATTAACATGGTATTAGAATTATACCAACACGTCCATGTTGTGTGATTTTCAATATTTGTCTCCTTGCTGTGTCGGTGTGTTAGGGTGTCTCCATAGATTTTCAGAGTGAAATGTCGTCTACAAATGATGAATAACAATATGTTGCGGCAGAAATGGTGAAATAGTATATCAATTTTTTACTCCGCATTATTAAAAGAAAAATTAGTTAAGTTGTTTCCTCATTTAAACTTCAGTTGTTTATTAGTAATAATTTACCATGCTAATACTAAGTTAATACTTGCTTCACATGATGAAGCCTCAATGACATTAGTCTATAAATAGCTTGTTTCAAAGGTTTCTGGCTATTTTAGTATCATCATCTTTTTCTGTAATCAACATTACAATTCTACTTTTCGCTAATGCACTATTTAGGGTGGTATCCACTATAAAACCAATTGGTAAAAAGCACCTCCTTCCACTGAAGAAAGCTACAATTGTGTGTGTTTCAGTTCAGAAGATTTTGACAAAAAAATTACTTGATTTGTTTCCTTTGTTACAACAGACACCCTGCATGTAATATTAAGCTTAAATGTAAGATTACATGTGTCTGTATTCAATTGCATTTTTTTCTATAATTTTTGTCACCTACTATTTAAAGCATTAAAACAGTACAAAATATAATTATTGGTCCCGTGTTAGCAGGGCCATATTTATGTTCCTGTTTCATTCCAAAAAATAGATGGGTAATTGAATCCAGACTACCATGTTTGATAACTCATCCATAACCTCTAGCAATTGGTATGGGTTGTATACCTATGGATAAATAAATACAGTTCAATTTCACAAAATGTAAACTCTTTATTAGTTCAGTAATATGTTGTTTTCTTATGGATAAATCAAAAACTATAAGAGAATCACAGATATGTGAGGACAACATAAACCTTCACATCGGCCATGCATTTCAACCATAAATTTGGGAGAGAGAACATACCTGAAATTATGAAGACTTGCGAATCGATTAACTGTTGTTTGGAACAAGAGGGATGGATGCTTTTATAATTATGTTTGAGTATTCGTGCTTGGAATGAGTTGAAATCTTTTGTATGGATTGTTGAAAAGATGGAAGACAGATGATTCTAGAAGATAGAAGACGGATGGGTCTAGAAATCTTGCGTTTGGAATTGAAATCTGTTAGTATAAAATTACCCATTTGCCCTTGGTCGTCCTAGTTATGACATTTCTATATAGTAGACTAGATAGTCATGTCCGTGCTTAGCACGGGCCCAACATATTGAATTCTGAGACATTATTTTTACTACAATCATTTTTGAGGTGTATACCAATGACCAGAATAAATTATACTTCATATTTTTTGTGCCAATAAGAAACAATCCTGTCAATTCAAGATCGATATAAGAAGCATTAGATACAAAAACTTTGTACAATAGGTTTGAACTTTGAAGTATAGACGGATGTATCTTAGAACATACAAATATTTACTTCTCAATACGGTAAATACACACTCTAATCATGTTCCATTAATTTATATACACAATTAATAGTCACAACTTAGATTAATCATGTTCCATTAGTTTTGAATTATATACACAATTAATAGTCGCAACTTAGATTAATCATGTTCCATTAGTTTTGAATTATATACACAATTAATAGTCGCAACTTAGATTAATCATGTTCCATTAGTTTTGAATTATATACACAATTAATAGTCGCAACTTAGATTAATCATGTTCCATTAGTTTTGAATTATATACACAATTAATAGTCGCAACTTAGATTAATCATGTTCCATTAGTTTTGAATTATATACACAATTAATAGTCGCAACTTAGATTAATCATGTTCCATTAGTTTTGAATTATATACACAATTAATAGTCGCAACTTAGATTAATCATGTTCCATTAGTTTTGAATTATATACACAATTAATAGTCGCAACTTAGAT